AAAGGAACAACCGCATCTTCCCGATACCTGGGGTACAATAACTATTAACACAGAAGCACATATTACCTAACTTTTGCAGATGAACACTGTTTATTCATTTTTCTCATGGGATGTAAATTCTCATTGGAAACGTGCAAGAAAAAATTGGAAATGTACTTCATTTTTAGAACTACGTTGCCAGAATTTTTTGCTAATAGGGACGTCAGAACACCAGAATTAAAAGAACTTATCAAAGTTATGTAAGTCTATATATTTTTTACTCTATTGTGGTGATACTTTTTATTCTAAACGTCACTAGAATTTAAAGTATTTAACTTTTTGCAGGCAAGGGGCGGTCTTGCCAGATTTAACTTCTGATGGCAAACGAATATCAATCGCAAGGGCTGCAAAATATGATTTCGAAACTCCAAACATAGCTGACATGGTAAAACTTATTTTCATGGTAGGTGACCTCAGATTAAAATTAGAAGAAACCGGGGTTTTCGATGTCTACATTGCTGATTTTAATTTTCCTTTGGCGAAGCATTTTTATAAAATAAATCCGTTGGTATTGAAAAAGATGTTCATGTGTGTCCAGGAAGCATTTCCGGTTATAATTAAAGAAGTTCACCTAATTAACGCTCCTCCTTTTATTGAATTCGTTATGAACGTAATAAAACCATTTTTGTCACCTGCTCTAAGTGAAGTTTTTCATATTCATACTTCCACAGAAACGTTGTATGAATTTGTTCCAAAAAATATATTACCGGAGGAATATGGAGGAAATGCCGGAAAACTATCAGATTTGCAGGACCAATGGATTAGAACTCTTGAAGAATATAGTACTTGGTTTGAAAAAGAGGAGAATATTAAGGCTGATTTGTCAATGACCACACTAAAGAACGGTCTACGCGGAGATTATAGAGAGCTAGAAGGTAGTTTTAGAAATTTATGTGCTGATTAAGTGAAAAATTGTTATGTGAAAAATTTTAATCGTTACACAGGTGATAATAAAAATATACATATAATGTGTAAAAAATGTTTTAGTGTCAGGTGGAGACAGAGGATACCTAGGATTTGTTACACTTAATTCTAAACCCTAAACCATGGAAAGGTGACAGTACATTTTTCATATTTTTACAAACTTTACGCTGACTTATTTTCCTTTTTTTAAATTTTGCGAAAAATATTGATAACATTTTTTGTAATGTGAATTAAGGATAAAAGGAAAGATAATTAGAATCAAATATGTATTTGAAATCCTGTCCTTCAGCTTTTGGAATTTCCTGTTTCTTCAAATATAACGCAGACGTTGTGCATCTAGTAACAAAACGGATAAGTAACATACAATTTAAGCTAAAAGAATTATGACATTAAAATTATTTTAAATTAAGTATTATCTTATTAATTATATATTGTATTTATTATATCTGAAATCTATCAGTGAAGAAATAGATAAATTAGAAGATAGAACAAAAATAGCTAGTTTCAGGCAAGAAGCAGTAAATAACAAAATTTACCAAAATATTAACAAAGTCACTTAGATAAGTCCGATTTTTGAAGTGTGAATGAACATCATCTAAAAGATAACAGTCATATACTCGTATCATTCGGAAATAACCATTTTACAGCCAGCACAGTTTTGTATTGTGTATTACCTTTTGTTTGCAATCCAGTTTAATAATATATTATGCACTGTTGTATACCCAATCAACCCACAGAACTGATGTAATAATATATATATTTATTAACTGACACAGACACTACATACTAGCATACTACATGCATTGCTCAATGACCATGACATATCCAGTAAGGGTTATTATAGCGTCTTCTCTCAGTCGTTGCCAACCGACTGCTGTTACCAACTGTGGTGCTCGGAATACACCACATGCATTTCAGATAGCTAGAAATGACTAAACCTAATAACTTTATATCTTGAGCTATGTAATTATCATTATTCATCATATATCATTATTCTAATTTAAAATCGGGTTAGGTCAAGCCGAATAGTTGATTTTCCATAAAATGTTAGTAATGTCAGTCTAAATAAATTATTCTAATTCGTCTATACCGCGTGTCTGGAAAATGGCGGATTAACTTTTCAGTACGTTATGTACGGGGGTTTCGGGAGTCAAGAAAAAATAATAAAAAAATTCCTTATGATGTAGATTACAAAAAAACGTAATTTTATAAAAGTAAAATTGGCAACATAGCACACACCTAATGCGTGAATACCTCCGGCTTACTTTCTGGTTTCTTAGTAACGATGGTAACTAAAATCCACCCTAGCTTTATATCAGGCAAACATTGTTGTCAAATGGAATTTTATCAAATTATTGCAAAAACAACACAGCCATATCTTTGTGCATTCTAACTGAAATGGCAATTAAACTTGGTCATGGGCAAGAGAACTATTAACTAGTTTTATTACTAGCTATTGTGATAATGAATGTGTTATTTAGTTGTTAACCGTGGCAAAAGAACCAATTTTAAACTCATTATAACTCCACCAAAATGTGAGAAGGAATTTTTTTACTATTTTTCCCAGATTCACCAGTTGATTGTTAAGGGTGTAGAGGAGAGTTAATTCGTCATTTTCCAGACACCTGGTATACTCAAATTCTGAGTCATCCAATTATTTATTTTTATTTAAACTATTTTGGTGCTACTGGTTTCAGGGTTCATCCCCTTCATCAACAATTTCGTCAATAAAATTATAACACTTTAAAAAATTGGTGTAAAGTTATTTCGACAGAACGTCCTTCGCGTCTAAGAAATACTGCTTCTCTAAAAAAGTATAAAATTCGATTTTACGGAATTTTACTTTTTCCTGATAACCTCTATCGAGTAAAAACAATATAGTGTGATGAGATTGCAGGGGGACGGACGGTCCGGAATCTCGCCGATAACGTGTGGTGGCGGCGTACCTGGGTGCCAAGCCTTATGCCAACTAGTACCGCTGATATAAGCAAACACGTCTGGCCGACCTAGGCTTATGCGGTGACCTTCACGCCGCCGAGAGTGGCCCGTTCGATCAGGAGCGGCGGTCGCTCGGGCGCGAGCTCCCTCTCCGTGGAAGGGAGCGCCGGGGTTGCTCTCAAGCTGGAGGCACGGATCTCAGGTGGTGAGCGCCTGAGAAAACAAGACAATAAAATAAAACGGCTGGAAATATTTTGAACAGTAAATCGGGTTTATTCCCTGTCACCAACTACACAGCTAAAATAATAAATCTTACTGCTAAGTCTTATTAACTCCAGTGCAAACAAAACAAAAAAAATAATAACACGTCCGGCATGGTCGTTTCCTCTTGGACCTGGAGGCGGCGACCTTGAACCTGAAAATCGCGCAAAGACAGTACGGGGACCCGGGAGGGGAGCGCGGTAGCGGTACCCGAAGCGTGCACGACGGTTTCGACTTATAAGGGTGACGACAAGAAAAAAAAAACGGTACTTAAACGGGCAGGCGACCCAAAAAGGTACTTACGGTGGTCGGAGGGTCAAACTGCACCTTCTTAAAAGAGACACTTGGGGCCCCCGAGAAGGTTTCACCTTCTTTAAAAATTGACTGATTCATTAATTTTTTTTGGTCACCCTGTCTAAGCAAATCTAAAAAACATGAATGCGATAATCAGTTACAAGTATAGTCTGATCATATTTTGCACATTTTCGAAAGAATTTTTTCAGCAAAATTTTGGGGCGGCGTGATCAAATGTTTAGGGGGATGAGCAAATACATTTTGATACAAAATTTACCATGCCTATCATATCTTTAAAACATCTGCCAGATTTCAAAGCATTCGGTCATGTAGTTCCTGATTAAATCAATAAAATAAATTCAAGCATTCATTAATTTTTTTGAGTCACCACGTTTATTCAAATCCAAAAAACATGAATGGAATGATAAATCATAAGTACAGACTGAAGATATTTTGTACATTTTAGACAGGATTTATTCGGCAAACTTTTGAGCTGACGTCATGAAGTTTTTGGAGGGGAAAGGTAAATATATTTTTATCAAAAATTTATCATGCTTCTCATAACTGTCAACCATCTGCAAGATTTCAAAGCATTTGGTTTTGCAGATTCCAAATTAAATTGCAAAATATTGTTTCATAATTTTGATTTTTTTTCAAAAATCTAGACGTTTTGGTAAAAACTCAATTCGGAGTTATAAACTACATGTGTAGGACTATGTTATTTTATACAATTTAAAACCCATTTACTATGTACAGTTTTGAAGTGACATCATCACATTATTGGCGGGAATGATTAGACAAATTTGGGTCAGCGTTTTACCATCTAAATGATATTCCTAATATAAGTACAAAATTTGACAACAATCGGTCCAGTACTTTCGGAGTTTATCTGTCTATTTAAAATCCGAAACGGCAGACAGACGGACAGATGGATAAACGGACAGATAGACAGACAGACAAACGGATAGGTCGAGAAAACGTAAAAGTAGAGAGTCGCTCAACTGACTCGATTGCAATTCTTCCTTCGCTTGCGCTCGGGAAGTAATAACAGTCAGATATCATTAGGAAATGACCATTTTACATCTTGTACTGTTTTGTATTGTGTATTATCTTGTGTTTCCAACCCAGTTTAAAAGCTTTTTTCAGGAAAAAAAAGGTGAATTTAAAAAAACACTAATTTTACGCTCATAGTTTTGCGACAAAATAGTCAGCAGTAGGTCTTGACAAGGATTATTCCATTCTGCTGGCAGCAAAGTCGGCACACTTTCATACATGAAAGTAAAAAAAATATTGTAGAGTGTTTAAAGCCCAACATAGATGAGGAATACAACAAATTAGTTCTTTTTGCCGCATTCCTCGGTGGAATTTTTTAAACGTGAAAGGTTAAATGCGGAGAGATAAGCTATAAACTTGAAGCATAATTTCATTTATCTGTTGCATCAAATAAAATTCGGACAGCTATTGGAAGGTCTCAAGTGTTTTGTTTATACATTTAACTGAAATTAATCTCAATAAATAACTGATTGTATCATAAGATTGCTCAACAGTAGACCATTGTCAGTTTTATAGTGTTACTTTTATAAGTTTACAACATATTGTGAAAATATTGTAAGAAATAGAAATTAAAGGAGGTAGGCAACATTCAAATTACCTAAATAGTTTTAGATATACTTCTGTAAACAGAGTTATATATTTTTTAATTTTTAAGCAGGCTTTAAAACAAATGATTCAAACACAACTGCAACTGACTAGAACAGACTTCCAGGAAGCATTAAAAGGGAAATCCTTATGCTTCCCCTGGGACCAGTTAAGTTGGCAAGATACATTTAAATACAGGAATAAATGACTTGTCCTGGAGAAAACGCTAACACACCAAAGGTAATCAACGATAGAGTAAAGGTAACTATAGTTTGCATTTCTACATAAACATAAGTAACCACAATTTGCGTTCCAGGTTCCCTACTTTATCCCTCTCAGGATAACAGCTTTGTCATCTCACCACTCGTAACTTCGCCTACTAACTTGTAATCACCGCCACTACTCTCAAAATGCCGACAATCATGTCTAAATTCCTCTCAAAAACCGAACTAACTCTCAACATCAATCGCACCATCCTCTCCAGAGCCCTCTTCTCTGCCGCCCTCTTCGCTTTCATCTACAAGTTCGTATTCCCCCAAATCGTCCGCAGGGACCCCACCACCAGCAACAAGAATCCAGTCGAAGAGAACATCCAAGGGCAGAATGACCCCAAACCCAAGCTGTCGAAGCGGCAGTTCCTGCGTAACGCCATCCCCGCGTTTGCCCGACAGTTACTTCGGCAGTTCTCCACGATTATACCTAGCTTTTTCAATGACGAAGTCAGACCGATGGTAAAAAAGGAGGAGTTGTATGGAAAATCCGAGAATTCAAGGGAAATCAGTTGGTCGCGAAAGGTACGTGTTTTCGAATAGTGGCGCAACTGTTTTTTTTATCTTTAAATTTGTTGAATGTTTCCTATCTGATAAAAATTTATAATTCCAGTGAGTTTAGAGATAACATTTATAGTTTAATAAATTGTTATGATCGTCATAATGGACTATTATATCTGATATGTATTTTTATTTCAGACTTTCAAAAAACGCTCTGGGACGACCGATAAAGGAAAGGATTACGAACTTTACTTTCTCGCATATATGGCATTGAAACTTACTCAAAATGATAAGATAAATAATTTTCTGATATCGTCTAATAATGGGGATTTCGGCGACTTTGACGACGTTGTTTTGGAAATAGACAATCCTGGAGAAACATATGCAATACAACTAAAACATGTGCAGAGAAGTAAATCTATCAGTTTAGAAGAGCTTACGACGGCAAGCCCCAAAGCAAATTTTGGAATAACAAAATATTTTAAATCTTTTAAAAAAGAAGCAGCATTGAAAAAATGCAAGTTATTTTTAATGACGAACATTGACCTAGGCGTCCACGGTACCTTTTCCATAAACACTATCGATAAGCAAGAGATTAAGGTAGAAGTCAGAGAAACAGAGTGCCCTCTTGACATATTTAACATATCGCAAAAAGCAAAATGCTACCAATTCCAAATTTTAGAAAGTGATAATGTCGAAGAATTGACAAACGAAGTACGCGACTATAAAACTTTCTTCGAACATTTTTTTATTTATTCGAAACAACTGAACCTAGATGAACTGAAAAAAACAATTATATCAGAATTTGAACTTCTGGTTCCCGAGACAGCAAGAGACGTGTATCCCCAATATATTATATCTTTTATTAGAGAATGGAATACAATTGAGAAAGAAAAAGAAAAACTCGATAAAATAATGATGGAACGATTGTTGGTTCTCCAAATCGCCACTCCTTCAATTTGTAGTCTGTCATTCGAAACAACAAATAATAACTCAGAAAATACTAAGTATCTACAACAAGCAATTTCCAAATTTCACCTGACTGTTTTTAAAAGTGATTCATACGAAAAAGTTCGAAGTTTATGGAGTAATATAAAGGACGACTTTAATAACAAGGCGTCTATTAATGAGTTAAACGAAGTCGGAAAGAAATACCGTATTAAAATGGAACCTGTGAAAAAGATCAGCGAGTTGACTGATACTGAATGTGCTAAACTCCTTTGGTTGATGAATAAATGTCCTTTAATTTTAAAAGAAAGTGTGTGTGTATACAAAGCTATAAACATCTGTAAAGATCGAACGTTTGTACTGCTTACAACAAATTTCAAAGAGAAAGAAGTGGTCAACGGTTCAGCTTTTGCTCATCTGTCCAACATTGAAGACAACGACGATTTGACAAATTTGAAGACGAAATTTGAATGCCAGATCAAAAGTCAAAGAATCAAGTTAGAAGAACTTATTAAAGATGACAAAAAATTCCGGGAGTTGATATCTACAGATATATTATTAGAAATGGTTCAGGGGCCTTATGAGGTTCAAGAATCAAAAGAAACCACTCAAGAATTGGAAACAGAAACGTGGAACAACTATGTTAGTCGATATTTGAGTAGAACCTTCGTAGATAGCAAGTATTTAGAAAACATTAAAAGCGATACAACCATTTTAGTGTCTTCCTTAAACGATGAAAATATTAATTGTCTTAAGGGAATGCTAGAATTACCACATAATGTTAACAGTAATGAACATGTTACCTCTCCAAACGAAGAGTATGAAGTTCTCACAGACAAACCCACAATATATGTCAGCAAGTCCAAAATTTCCAGTCAAGATTTTCGAAAATTTTGTGAAGATCGAAATAACGTAAAAAATTGCCACCACTTTAAGTTAGATCATGAAGACAAAACCTTGGAGTGGATCCAAACAAAAGGTGACATTTCTGCGTTACAACAATTTCGTATTTATGGCAAGTCTGGGAAGAATATTGCAGAAACTGAACTTTCTGAGCTGCACACCGATAATAATTTGCACGTAATAGCTGACGACCCAGGAATGGGAAAAACATACTTTTTGAAAAAACTAAAAAGGGATGCTTCACTCTTTGCAATTGTTATATCTCGCAAAGATATTTTGTCTTTTTATGCATCTGGACAAAGTAAAACTCCAATGGAAGACTTCCTGATAAAATCGAAATTTAATATTCGAACAGATTTTGATAGTTGTTTTCTAGAATATATGGCAAAGAGGGGACGAATTATGTATCTGTGGGACGGCTTAGATGAAATACCTAAAGCCGCTTTAACTGAAGTCATTGATACTATTTTAAGAATTGCTAAGGGTCCTTCAATACAGTGGATAACTTGTCGCACACATTTGGAAAAACTACTTGAAGAAAAACTTGGTGTGTTGTGCAAACGGACGATTCGGTTAACAATTGATCAACAACAACAGTACATGGAAAAAAGTTTAGAAAGAAGAGAGAAATCGTTCGCCCAAATATCTAAAAAAATTATTTTTGCTGGCCACCAAGACATGTTTGGAAATCCACTACAGCTGTTTATAATAACTATGTTACTTAAAAATAACTTCGAAAAATACTCTACGAAGTTAGACAATTTGAAAGTTATTACTAATTTGTATCGGTACTTCGTTGAAGAAAAATTTCGTTTAAGTAATCAAGAAAAGGCTGAACTGAAGATTGCTGCCGATCAATATCAGCAACAAGTTTTTGAAGATAGCAAAAAAGCTAGAGCGAAAGATTATCAAGAAGCAGCTCTCAAGATCCTTTTAGACGAAAACACTTTCAATCAGCTTAACCTCAACTGCGATGATTTTTTATCAGATATTGCTTCAAAGGGAGATTATGCTGGATTTATAAGTAGTGTAACAGAAAACAAATATCCTATATTTGTAAACAATTCTTATGTTGAATATTTCGCTGCCGATTATCTGGTAAACAATCGGAAAAACATTCCAAACACCGAACTTATAATTTCTAACGTTAAACATGGCAATGTTCGCTTGTTCTTCGATATGATGTTAGCGCACAAGTGTCCTGCCCATATTGCAGTATTGGATCAAGATTTAAAAGCTTTGAAGCAGTACGGCCGTGAAGAATTGTGCAGAAAAGATGACGAAGGAAGAAATGCTTTACAATTGGCTTGTACTCGGGGACCACGCTTCCCTGTTCTGCAGATTGTAAAAAGAAATAAGACTTACTGTATTGACGATTATTCAGATTATAGTTATGAAACAAACACGAAGTATGAAGAAATTTTAAAATATTTATTAAGTCATTTTCAGAAGCAGGAATTGGTTGATATGAACTGCCTTTCTTATGCCCAAAAATATGACTGCTTATTTGTCGTGGCTACAATAATTCAAACATGCAGAACGAAGTTTACTACAGTAAGTGACGAAACCGTCTGCAGTATTTTATACTATTGTGTAAAATATGAACGAAGAGATATTATCAGTCTGTTAGAGAAGAGCGAACACGTTTTAAACATCGCTTCATCTGCAAAGCAGTGGCTATTTTTTGCCTGTCAGAACGGAGACGAAAAATTTGTGAACATTTTGCTTGATTTTGGAATGGACCTGAATTGTGTGGATGAAGATGAACGGACACCTCTATATTTAGCTGCATCTAGAGGGCACGACCAAATTACAAAACTTTTACTCGACAAAGGAGCCAAACTTGAAACTCTCTGTCATAATAAAAATACATTGCTTCACGCAGCATGTGAAAGCGGTAACGAGGTGCTTGTGGAGGATTTCCTAAAACGAGGACTGAACATAAACGCATGCAATGTCGAGGACATCACACCCCTTCATTTAGCATGTTTCAACGGCTCTGAAGAGGCGGTGAAGGTGTTAATTAATCATAAAGCTAATCTTAGCGCCATTGATAAAGATGGTCGCTCACCACTCTATTTAGCTCTACTTGAGAATAAACGCAAAACTGCTAGTTTGTTGATTGAATCTGGAGTCGACGTCAATGCCGTAAACGAAGAAGGCAGAACGATGTTACATTTGGTATCCGAAACTGGTCACACCGAAAACAACCAGGAAAGAATTGTCACAGGATTAGTAAAATTCGGAGCAGAAATCAATCGTGGTGATCATGATGGTGGGACGCCGCTTTACGTAGCTTCCTGGAACGGTCACAATAAAACTGTTGAATGTCTAGTGAAATGCGAAGCCGACATCAATCATGCTAATAATGATGAAGACACACCGCTTTATGCAGCTTCCAAGAACGGCCACGAAGAAACTGTCGAATGCCTAATGAAATATGGAGCCGAAATCAATTGCCCTAATAAATATGGTTGCACACCTCTTTACGCAGCTTCCGAAAAAGGCCACGAACAAGTCGTCGAAAGCCTAGTAAAATACGGAGCCGATATTAATAGCGCTGATAAAGTTAATCAGACACCGCTTTACATAGCTTCCTCTAAGGGTTACGAAAAAACTGTGGAATGTCTAGTAAAATACGGAGCCGAAGTCAATCGTGCTGATAATAGTGGCCGGACACCACTTTACATAGCCTCTTGGAACGGTCACGCAAGAATTGTCGAGTGCTTGGCAAAATGTGGAGCCGAAATCAATTGTGCTAAAAATGATGGATGGACACCGCTTTACGCAGCTTCAGTAAACGGTCACGAAAACATCATCGAAAGTCTAGTGAAGTACGGAGCCGAAATTAATCGAGCTGATGATGATGGTCGGACACCGCTTTATGTCGTTTGCCTAAAGGGTCGTCAAAAAACTGTCGAATGTCTAGTGAAATGGGGGGCAGACGTCAATTGCGCTAATAAAAATGGTTGGACACCGCTTTATGCCGCTTCTTTAAACGGCCACGAAATAATTGTCGAAAATCTAGTGGAACACGGATCTGAAATCAACAGGGTTACTAGTGATGGTAAGACACCGCTTGATGCCGCCATTGGGGGGAATCGCAAGAAAATAATAAGCTTTTTGAAATCAAAAGGTGCGAAGAGAAACGTCACAGAAGACACGGATAACTGAAGGAGCAAGTGGATGAAGGTGTTAAGTTACAAATTGTAAAGATTCCGAACATTGATGTTTAGTAAAGTATTGTGTGAATATTTTATTTTTTGCTTTTTCAACAAGGTTACAGTTGTCAGTTGACGATAAGTATTATGTACAGTTGTCAGTTGACGATAAGTATTATGTACAGATGTATTGTGACCTCGGGTTATTTTTACTGTAATGCCGTTTTTTTTTTTTGCTAATTTTGATTGTACGTAACACCTTTTTTCTCAAATACAACAAAACCTCTCTTCAACGGACAGCTGTGGTGATTCAGAAAGTGTCCGTTATTAAAAGGTGTCCTTTTCTGGAATTGTATGGGCCCTATTAGAATGCTTTGTCCGAACTTTGCCGATGTGCTTTTGAATAATAGAGTAGATATTTTTGGCATTATATCTAATTTGTGGAAACTATATAACATATTCTCTATCGGCAACGCTGATTTTCTTCCCAAATTAAAATCTACAGGTTTCTTTACATGATACGTCTAATTTAGGAACTTTAGCTGGTACTTCTTTTCCATTATATGAAGTCTACGCTTGTCCACGTTCTCTAGCTATAACAGCTTTATTCTTCTTCCATTCTTGTGCATTTCTTGTACTTCTTTTTGTAGTCTTTTCTTTTAACACATGCGTCTTTTGCTTCTTTTTTTCTATATTTTTGATCTTATCATCTTCGTTAGAATTTTCGGCTGTAATATGATCAGGTATATTATTGTTACGTTAATCGGGAATTAAAAATTGACGTGGGTAAAACTTAACTTAACTCTAATATTCTCTCGTTGACTGGACAAAAACTTACTGCTCCCGACGGTGGTCTCTATTCAAACCTATACGTTCCCTTCGAGATAAGTCGCGGTCGAGATTTTTCTGGAGTACCCATCGCGACTTTCGCTTCCACGCTTTTCTTTAGTCGAACGCCGTTCGGCCGCCGTCGCCGATGATGAGTCACCCATCATCGCCGTACGTATGGGTTTATTTCTTTCTAAATGGTTATTACTCCTGCAGCTATGGTAATGTAAATCCTCTTCGTTGACAAGTTTTTTAATATTAGCCTGCACCTCTCAGACAATTTTTTTGGATTGTGAAAAAGTACAACCCTAGAAATCTAGCTTATTTGAAAAGTCTTAAAATTTCATTTTGGGAACTTCTTTTTCTATGATTTCCCCTACAAGTTAAAATAAAAATATGTGTGGACTGCTAAAATACAGGGACAGAATCATTGTTGACGACTAGAGCTTACTTTTATTTGATGAAGGGATAGTGGACATGGCGCGATAATTAAAGTTGATAACTATGTAATTGAGTCATTTAATGTACTTTTAAAAATCTTAGCAATCATGAAGTCACAAAATTCCGGTGGCAACGATAATAACAAAAATTCGATAATATAATTCTCAAAGAAACATGGTTCAGTGCTAATGTGGGCAGTGGTGAGATTTTTGATATATTTTTTGGAAATAACGTGATTTCGTTTCAACACAGACCTCCAGAGGAGGTGGGGTTCCAATTGCTGTTTCTAAAAACTTTCAGACTGTTGAGGTAGACCCGTTAGCATTATGTCAATAGTTCCAGGCATTGAGTCACATCAACTCCGTTAATGTCATATAATAAATTAATTACAGCCTCCGTATCGTCAGTATATTATTGGTGGGGATGATTAGACAAATTTGCGTTTTACCATCTACATGATATTCCTAATATAAATACAAAATTTGCCCAGTACTTTCGGAGATTATCTGTCTAATAAAAGTCCGGGACGACGGGCAGGCAGACGGAAACGGGAGATTTATTTCTTCGCACTCTTGGGATTATGAAAGGTCGACAAAACGTAAAAGTAGAGAGTCGGTCGATGGACTCGCTTACGCTCGGGAAGTAATAACAGTCAGATATCATTAGGAAATAACCATTTTACAGTTCGCATTGTTTTGTATTATGTATCACCTTGTATTTGCTATCCAGTTTAAAAGTTTTTTTCACCGAAAAAGATGAATTAAAAAAACTCTAATTTTAAGTTCGCAATTTTTCGACAAAATAGTCCACAGCAGTATATTACTTCCCGAGCGTAAGCAAAAGAAGTATTGTAATCGAGTCCGTTGGCCGACTCTCTATTTTTACGTTTTCTCGGTCTTTCATGACCCATAGTGGACGAAGAAATAGGTCTCCCGTTTCTGTCTGTCTATCCGGCTGTCCGTCTGTCCGTCTGTCTGCCGTCCCGGATTTTTATTAGACAGATAATTTCCGAAAGTACTGTACCGATTGTTGTCAAATTTTGTATTTATATTAGGAATATCATGTAGATGGTAAAACGCTAACCAAAATTTGTCTAATCATCCCCACCACTAATGCGATGACGTCAGTTCAAAATTGTACATATAGTAAATGGGTTTTAAATTGTATAAAATAACATAGTCCTACACATGTAGTTTAAGACTCCGAATTGAGTTTTTACCAGAAACGTCCAGATTTTTGGAAAAAAATCAAAATTATGAAACAACATTTTGCAATTTAATTTTGAATCTGCAAAACCGAATCCTTTGAAATCTTGCAGATGGTTTACAGGTATGACAAGTATGATAAAGTTTTAATCAAAATATATTTACTTATCCCCTCAAAAAATTGATAACGTCAGCTCAAAACTTTGCCGAATAAATCCTATCTAAAATGTACAAAATATGATGAGTCTGTAGTTGTGATATATGATTGCATTAATATTTTTTTGATTTACATATACAGGTTGACTACAAAATGCTTTGAAATCTTGGAGATGTTTTAAATTTATCATAAGTATGGTAAAATTTTGATCAAAATGTTTTCGCTCATCCCCCTTAAAAATTTGATGACACCACCGCAAAATTTTGCCGAAAAAATGCTTAAATGTGTAAAGAATGATGAGTCTATACTTGTGATTTATCACTGCATTAATATTTTTTAGATTTGCTTATACAGGGTGTCTGAAAAAAATTAATGACTCAGTCAATTAATTTTATTGATTAAATCAAGAATTACAAAAATGTAATACGAAAATAGACATAATAGGCTTGCAGTCGTCACGTTCCCGATAGCGAGGGAAGTACTGTCTAAACTCTTTAGACCAATTTTTTTTTATATGTCTTGACAAGGATTATTCTATGCTGCTGGCAGCAAAGTCAGCACACTTTCATACATGAAAGTAAAAAATATTGTGGAGTGTTTAAAGCCCAACATTGATGAGGAATGCAACAAATCAAGGTGAAATGCTGAGAGATAAGCTATAAACCTGAAGCATATTTTTTAAGTTTATTTATCTATTGCACGAAATAAAATTCGCAGAGCTATTGGAAGGTCTCAAGTGTTTTGTTTGCACATTTATTTGATATTATTCCTATTAAATAACTGATTGTATCATAAGATTATTTAAAAGTATGTTTAAAAATTGCGTCTCAGAAATAATAGCTACTCAACTGTAGATCATTGTGTTTTAGAGTGTTATTTTTATAAGTTTACAACAGTCTGTGAAAAATATTGGAAGAAAGAGAAATTGAAGGAGGTAAACAGCATACAAATTACCTATATAATTTTAGATATACTTTAGGAAACAGAGTTATCTATTTTTTAATTTTTAAGCTTGCATTAAAACAAATGATTCAAACAAAACTGCAACTGATTAGAACAGACTTCCAAGATGCATTAAAACGGAAATCCTTATGGTTCACCTGATCAGTTAAGTTGGCAAGATACATTTAAATATGGGAATAAATGTTTTGTCCTGGAGGAAACGCTAACACACGACAGGTAGGTAACAAACGATAAAGTAAAGGTAATTTCAGCTAGTATAAGCCATCTACAGTTTGCACCACTACATAAAGATTTTAAAGAATCGATTTTAATTTATTTGTCTAAAAAAATTTTTTTCGGCAGAGATAGTATACACTCAACTAACCACAATTCTCGTTCCAGGTTCCCTACTATACTTATTCCTCTCAGGATAACAGCTTTGTCATCTCACCACTCGTACCTTCGCCTACCCACTTGTAATCAACCTTACAAATTTCAAAATGCCGACAATCATGTCTAAATTTCTCCCAAAAACCGAACAAACCCTAAACATCGACCGTACCACCCTCTCCAGAGCCCTCGTCTCTGCCGCCCTTTTCGCCTTCATCTACAAGTTTGTATTCCCCCAAATCCCCGGCAGGAACCCCGCCACCAGCAACAAAAATCCAGTCGAAGCGAACATCGAAAGACAGAATGACCCCAAACCCAAGCTGTCCAACCAGAAGCTCCTGCGTAACGCCATCCCCGCATTTGGCTGGCAATTACTTCGGCAGTTCTCCAGGATCATACCTAACTTTTTCAGCAGCGAAATCAGACCAATGGTAAAAAAGGAGTTGTATGGGAAATCCAAAGGTTCAAAGGAAATCAGGTGGTCGCAAAAGGTACGTGTTTTCGAATAGTGGCGCAACCGTTTTTTTTAATCTTTGAATTTGTTAAGTGTTTGCCATCTGATAAAAATTTGTAATTCCAGCGAGTTCAAACATAACATTTAAGTATATTTTGATAAATTGTTATGATCGTCATAATTGACTATTATATGTGATATTTTTATTTCAGACTTTCAAAAAACGCACTGGGACGACCGATAAAGGAAAGGATTACGACCTTTACTTTCTCGCATATATGGCATTAAAACTTACTCAAAATGATAAGATAAATAATTTTCTGATATCGTCTAATAATAGGGATTTCGGCGATTTTGACGACATTGTTCTGGAAATAGACAATCCTGGAGGAACATATGCAATACAACTAAAACTTGTGGAAAGAAGTAAATCTATCACTTTAGAAGAGCTTACGACGGCAAGCTCCAGAGCAAATTTTGGAATAACAAAATATTTTAAATCTTTTAAAAAAGAATCAGCATTGAAAAAATCCAAGTTATTTTTAATGACGAACATTGACTTATGCGTCCGCGGTACCTTTTCCATAAACACTATTGATAAGCAAGAGATAAAGGTAGAAATCAGGGAAACAGAGTGCCCTCTTGACATATTTAACATATCGCAAAAAGCAAAATG